ACATGTTTCCAGCATGCTGAGCGGCCTCTGGCTTAGCCCCCAGCAGAGAAGTTCAGGGAACTGGGCTGAGGGACTTGGGCACAGTCCTCTCGGGGTGATGTTTGTGTGAATTCCTCTTTGATCCCCCAGGCCCATGGTAGCTGCTTGTTTGGATTTATACTTGTGTTTTGGCTAATTTGTGAGGGTCTCTGGGATATAATGGCCTTTCACTGTCCCTGGGATGGACCAGGCTGTCTTTGTTTTCATGGTAATGGTGTCAGGATAGCTCTGGCCTTCAGAACACGCTGCCTGAGAGCCAGCAAATGCTGACACTGTGACTGGCTGAGCGAGCAGGCCACATGCTCACTGATTCTAGTGGCACCAGAGACATACAGAGTGACCTTTGCAAGTCAGAGGACTTTCTCCATGGTCTAATATGGCAGCTCTCCCCCTCCTCCCCCCCCAAGCAGGGATCCTCTCTGCATTATTACCCTGTCTCTGTGGGTGGGGATCTACCCACCTTGATCCCTATAAATACCAGCATGAAACACTGGAAGATGTCACTAAGGCCTCTTATTTATTTATTTATGCTTTTTTTGGGTCACACCCATCAATGCTCAGGGGTTATTCCTGGTTCTGCACTCAGGAATTACTCCTGGTGGTGTTTGGGGGACCATATGGGATGCCGGGATCAAATCCAGGCCAGCCATGTACAAGGCAAACACCCTCCCCACTGTGCTATTGCTCCAGCCCCTCTAAGGCCTCTTATTCTCACAGGAAAGAGGAAACTGTGGGTGGGAGTGATGTCCTGGGGGAGCTGGGGAGTGGGAATCATATTCCCTTCTTCTGAGCCTTACTCTTTCATTGAGGAGGACAGGCAAAACCGGAAATGAAGTCATGAAGCACACTTGGGGTACAGGACGGCTGCTGCTGTGTTTTCATGTCACTGGTGGAGGACCACGTGCCAGGCTCTGTGTTAGGTTGCCTGGCTGTGTTGGGTTCGATCCTTGGCACCCTCCTTATCCCTGCCACAGCCCTGCTGGTAGCATAGCCTTGGGGACTCCTTAGCATCACTGGGTGGGTGTGCCCCACCACATATATCCACAATAGACCTCTTCCTCCCTCTCATCTCAAGCTGTTGCCACGCTCCTTGTTTGTTTATAGCTGCTCTGGAACAAGGTGGCTGGTTGTGTGAGACTAGGGCTGGACTCTTCTTCTTCTCTGGTTGCCTTTGGCACCTGTGTTCTTCCTCAGGTTTCGAAGTTCTGCAGCAGGGGGTCGATTTGCTGGCTGCCAGGGACTTTCCTTTCCATCCCTACTGGGACATCAGGACCAAGCTTTATTATTTGTTTGCTTTGGGGGCCACAATTAGTGGTATGCCTGACTCTGTACTCAGGGATTACTCCTGGCAGGGCTCAGGGGAACCATATGCAGTGCCAGGGATTGAATCATGGTCAGCAGGGGGCAAAGCAAGTGCCTACTTGCCTGTGTTCGTTCTCTCCAGCCCCACCCAAGTTTTTCTTTCTTTCTTTCTTTCTTTCTTTCTTTCTTTCTTTCTTTCTTCTTCTTTTAAAAAATAGGTAGAAAGGTTTATTTGAATTTTATTTATTTATTTGCTTTTCATCTTTTTGGGTCCCACCCAGTTACGCTCAGGGGTTATTCCTGGCTCTGCACTCAGGAATTACTTCAGGTGGTTCTTGTGAGACTATATGGGATGCCAGGGATCGAACCTGGGTCGGCTGCATGCAAGGCAAATACCCTACCCACTGTACTATTGCTCTGGCTGCAGCTTAAGTTTCTGTCCAGGAGAATTTGCCTCACATGACCCAAAAGTCCTCTCCGTCCTCACTCCCACGATCTCAGCAGCACACAGTTTTATGTTTACCTGCTCCCACCCGAGCCACACTGAGTATGTGTTTATCACTGCTCACTGGTGCTTTAAGGTTAGGGTTGGACTCTAACCCTTGCTGCCTTGGGTCAGTCATTTCACCTTTGAGCCAGCATTCTGATCTCTACAACCTGCGAATAGTAGTCCCTCTCCTCCTAGGTAGAATTCAAAGACTATAGCACACACTGCTCGACACAGAATAGCTGCTCAGCAAAAGGAGGGATTGGCTGCTAGATGAGGAGAAAAACATCTCCCTCAGGAACCAGGCACGTGGCGCCTTGTACCACCTCATCCCTCTCCCAGCTCTGCTGGGAGTAGCCCTTGGGACTTCTGAGCACCACTGGGTGGGGGCATGGCTCCCTGCAACAACAAAACTCTCTCACATCTCAAACTGACTTTACACAGGTCATCACAGAAGCATGAGGAGACTATCTCCTGCTCTATATTCTGGGGACAAAAATAGACTTCCAAGGCCTCTTTCAGGAAGTTCTCATGAGACAACAGTAGCAAGAGTGGAAAACGATGGCAAGAGCTGTTTGAATAAGGCGCTTCCTGGCATCTGTGGCTCACTCCCCACCGGGGTCAGGCTAGGCATAGAGCAGATAACCCTTTGCTGAGATAGTTTGCACAAGCCCCATGGCCCACCAGCATGATAAGGCTTTTTAGAAGAACCGTTTGGAGGAATTCTTGCAAAAAACTGACTAGAACCTAGAAGGCAACCAATCTTAGGGGAAAATATATTTATACAGATATAGATAGAAGCACACAAGGCTCAGTGTGTAACAACATGTCTTATAGAAGGGTGTAATGGCTCCTGCGTGAAATACAACAATCTTCACACACTTTCCTCTAAGAAACCTTTTTGGTCTTGTTTCTAGTGGCTCATTTATGACAAGCAATACACATTTCGGTTCTGCTTTGGGGCAGGGTTTGGGGTTCGGGATGGAAATATGGTGGTGAGAAGGTGTAGTGGTGGTGGGATTGGTGTTCAAATATTAAATGTAATCAAATATTGTGAACACTGTCACTGTCTTCCCATTGTTCATCAGTTTGCTCAAGCGGGCCCAGTAACGTCTCCATTGTGACAACTGTTACTGTGTTTGGCATATCGAATATGTCATGGGTAGCTTGCCAGGCTTTGCCATGTGGGCAAGATACTCTTGGTAGCTTGCCGGGTTCTCTGAGAGGGGTGGATGAATCGAACTCGGGTCCCCCATGTTGGCCGCTTGCAAGGCAAACGCCCTACCTGCTGTGCTATCGCTCCAGCCCATTGTGAACAACTTTATAAAAATAAAATAAAAAAATTAAAGAAAAATATGACTAGAACCATTGGAAGGCAGGCACATTGGTGCATCAAAAATCTCAATTCCCAGCTGAGCAACAAAGCCTTGGGACATCCCATAACAGAAGCCAGGCGGCAGTTCAAATAGCCAGGCAGTATTCTAATTGTGCCACTTTTTTTACCCTCTGACTCTTGTTGACTGACTTTGATTGTTCTGAAAATTCCACAGGACACATGTGTGGGACATGCACCATGGAACGGTCAGTGTGGAATGCAGGAACGTGGATGGGAGGCAGGTGGGGAGGAGGAGAGAGGGCAGGAGCAGGGGTGTGGATGGGAGCTCTGGAAAGAGCCAGATTGGGGCAAATGGCTATTTGATGCTGCTACCGAATGATCTGTGAAAGGGGAAGAAACGCAGAAAGGTGGGGCCAGAGAGATAATACAGCTGGCTGGCCTCAGTCATGGGTCCTGGGCCAGAGCAGAAACCAAATGCTCCCAGGAACTGACCTCTACTTATGAACTGGACTTGACCAACAGAACACAGCAGAGAGAGCGAAGGTCAGGGCATGGGGCTGAGCAACTGAAAGAGTCCCACCCCCAGCAGTCCCCCCCCACCCCACCACGTCACATGTCACTCAGCAGGGGTTTCCTAGCACCCACTCTTGGCCAGGGTCTGAAAGCAGCAATGTGGGGAGACACACTGTCTGGAAGTTGGACTCCTTTCTGCTTTCCTTCCTTCCTTCCTTCCTTCCTTCCTTCCTTCCTTCCTTCCTTCCTTCCTTCCCTTCCTTCCTTCCTTCCTTCCTTCCTTCCTTCCTTCCTTCCTTCCTTCCCCTTCCTTCCTTCCTTCCTTCCTTCCTTCCTTCCTTCCTTCCTTCCTTTATTTTTTTTTTGGTTTGTGTGTGGGATGGGGCACACCTAACAGTGCTCAGGGCTTACTCCTTGCTCTGCATTAAAGGTAGGGATCACTTCTGGCAGGGTTCGGGGGACCATATGGGATACCAGGAATTGAATTCAGGTCAGTGGTATGCAAGGAAAGGGCCATCCCCCCTGTACTATTGCTTCAGCTGTCATTAAATGCTTTTACTTTTTTTGGTGGGGGGGCACACCTGGTGGTGCTCAGGGTTTACTCCTGACTCTGTGTTCAGGGATCACTTTTGGTGGGCTCAGGGGACCATATGGGATGCCAGGAATCAAATGTGGGTCTGCTGCACACAAGGCAAGTCTCTATCAGCTGTAATATGATTCCAGCCCCTGTAAGAAACTCTTTCAATGTGTGGTGAGAAAATTGGTGATGAGGGGCTGGAGCAATAGCACAGCGGATAGGGTGTTTGCCTTGCATGTGGCTGACCTGGGTTCGATTCTCAACATCCCACATAGTCCCCAGAGCACTGCCAGGGATAATTCCTGAGTGCAGAGCCAGGAGTAAACCCTGTGCATTGCCAGATGTGACCCAAAAAGAAAAAAAAAGAAAAGATAATTGGTGATGAGGTCCAAGAAGCAAGGCCAACCAGTTCTGGAGACTCAGGCTGAAGCCCCGTTTAGGACATCCTAGAAATTCCACATGGTACAGGGAGACGAGAGGCCACACCTCGGCGGGGAATCGAGTGGGCAGGACACTCTCACAGGCCCTGGGCTGGGCCCTGACCTCGCTCATAATAGAGTCATTGTGTTTGTCAGACCACCTGCTCTCTCCTCTCCTCCCCAACCCCTCCCTCAAGCCCTGCTTCCGCCTTTCCTGGAGGTCACATGGGAAGAGAAGAATCTGTGCTTAGTCCCCCAAGAAGGACAGGATGCCTACAGTGGAGGCAGATTGTATTTAAATGCAACTAACCTTTTTTTTGGGGGGGAGTCTCTAGAAAAGCCACCTGCAGATTCATTTGCTGGCAAATATGGCCTGTGTGGCCGAGGCAGTGGCCATTGGGGTCTTGCTGAAAGTCGGCTTCCTCCGGAGGTCAGTCGGTTGACCTGAATGGCAGCCACTTCGGTGGGCATATAAGATATTCATCTCTGGGCTTAAAGGACTTGCTTCAGGCTGGCACCCCTTGGGGCTGGCTGGTTGTTCAGGCTTCCCGGAGGTGGGCGGGGAGGTGTAGCGTTTGGCGGGAGGAGGGCTGTAGTTCTGAAACCTCACGGTTTTGACTTGCTGCAAGAGAAAGGAGAGTGAAGGGTGAGTCAGGAGAGGAACAAGCTCTGAGCCGGGCCTTGGTGCTTGTCGCTTCTCCATGCTTGTTCTTCCTGGTCATGTCTCATGCATGCGTTCATTCTGTGAACACCTGGGTCAAGCCTGGGTGTCCATAAGCATCGAGTACCCTGGGGTTAGGTGTGGCCCAGGAAGAATAAACAAAGCTGCTCAGACAAATCTATCAAGTGTTCTGAGGGGGTGAGAGTGGGGCCGGTGAGAGCATCATGCCCACTCACTTCCCCAACTGAGGTGTGGTCTTTTGTCCCCATGTACTGTGTGGAATTTCTGGGATGTCCTAAAAGGGGCTTCAGCCAGAGTGGCCGGAACTGTGAGATTGTTAGCCATACATTGAAACGTCATATGTTTGAAAGAATATGATATTAAAGGGAGAGAATATATCTATATCTATATCTATATCTATATCTATATCTATATCTATGTACTATAGCACTGTCCTCCCATTGTTCATCGATTTGCTTGAGTAGGCCCAGTAACATTGTGAGACTTGTTGTTACTGTGTTTGGCATATCGAATACGTCATGGATAACTTGCCAGGATTTGTCATGCAGGTGAGATACTCTCAGTAGCTTGCCGGGCTCTCCAAGAGGGGCAGAGGAATTGAACTCAGGTTGGCCGTGTTGGCCGTGTGCAAGGCAAACGCTCTACCTGCTGTGCTATCACTCCTGCCCTATACCTATATCTATATCTACATATATTTGCATTTTGGGTCACACCCAGCAATGCACAGGGGTTATTCCTGGCTCTGCACTCAGGAGTTAATCCTGGCGGTGCTCAGGGGACCATATGGAATGCTGGGAATTGAACCTGGGCCGGCCACGTGCAAGGCAAATGCCCTACTCGCTGTGCTATCTCTTTAGCTCCTATTTTTTATTTTTTCCCCTTTTTTAATTGAATCACTATGAGATACCATTATAAAGCTTTCATATTTGAGTTTCAGTCTTACAATGAGTGAACATCCATCTCTCCACCAGTGCAGATTTTCCACCACCAATGTCCCCAGCATCCCCCAATTCCCCCATCCCAGCTCTCCCTCTACTTCTATGCCAGACAATTTTCCCCCAAACTCTTGCTCTACTTCTGGGCACTGTGGTTTGCAATACAGATATTGAGAGGCTATCACATTTGGTCATTTATCTACTTTGAGCGCACATCTGGGAGGAGAATATCTAAGCAAAGTTGGAAGGGGGCTCGCCCGGGAGACTTCCCAGAAGCAGAGCTACCGGAACACATTCTTAGGAAGGAGCAATAGAGGAGGTAATTGCAGAGGAGGGCTGGAGGCCGGAGTGCCTGAGTCTTTCCCAGGACTACAACTCCCGCTCCCCAGTCCCTGCTCCCCTCTCCATGGGCCTTCTCTCAAAGCCAACCTCACCCTTGAAATATCCCCAGGTGACTCCATTTAAAGTTCACAAATTGATTGAATCTACTGCCTGCTTTTCAGGAAAAAAAGAAAATCACCAGTCCTCCCAGTCCTCCTAGAACCTACCTTCTTTTAGGAAGCAAACAGAAAGTGTCCTGCACCAACTGCATGGCCAGAAACTACCCCTCCCTCCACCCCCCCCCCCCCCCAGAAACATTGCCCACTTTGGGACCACTGACCTAGAAACTGAGGGAGAGTAGAGTTTGCCAACGGAACCCCTACCGCCTGGATTTAAGTCTCGAGAATGAGAGTCTGACTTAGTTCTTTTTTTTTTTTTTTTTTTTTTTTTTTTTTTTTTCTTTTTTTTTTTTTTTCCCTTTATTTTATTTTATTTTTTTTAAAGTTGTAGATTTACAATTTTTTGTGCTTTGGTTTCAATTATACAATGATCAGATACCCATCCCTCCACCAGTGCCCATTTTCCACCACCATGGATAATATCCCTCCCACCCCCATCCCCCCATCCCCCCGTCTGAGAGTCTGACTTAGTTCTTACCAAACACTTAAACATGGGGAGACTGCGTAATAAAAGCAGGTTTTCATAGTTCTCTTGGAAAAATAAGAAAACACCTTGCATATGAAGCCTATGCCCCATGCTATGGGGGCAATGGGCTGGAGCTAGTTAGCAATCAGCCTTCCCTTGCTGAGGAAAAGCCCAGTCTCTGGCTGCCCCAATGCCACTCTCCTGCTTCCTTAGTAATGGCTGGTCTTGGTACCAGGTGGTATTGGCTTTGGGCAAACCCTAGCATAGAATTTATAAAGTTTTCTGTGGTAGCACTTAAGAATGGCATAGTCTCTCATGAAATTTGATTCAAATTATCTCTCACTGAGAATCTAACTTGCTTCACACTTTTGATGCTCATCATATATAGCAGGGGTTGGGCACTTAGCAAATACCCTTTGAAAAGGGTATTTTACATCTATTTTTGCATCTAGCAGCTTGGGGTAATGGGAAATGGAAACACTTAGAACTGTTTGAATACTATAATTAAAAAACTTCTGACATTTATATCAACTCACATAAACTTTTTCCAAATGCCTTTCCCTGTACCTTTAAAGCTAGCCTACTTGAAGACTATGGACCGAACATGATGGCCTTCAATAGAGAAGTCAGGTCTGCCATTCTTTCATTTGGGAGGCCTGGGGTGGTGATGGTGCTGCTGCTGCTGATAGTGGTGGTGGTCATGGTGATGGTGGTGGTGGATGGTGACCATGTGATGCTAATGGTGGCAGAGATGCTGGTTAGTGGTGATGGTGGTGATGATGTGGTGGTTGGTATGGGGGAGAGATGGTGGTGGGGGGATAGTGGGAGAGATGGTGGTGGTGATAATAATGATGGTGGTGAGGATGGTGGAAATTATGGAGTTGTGGTCATGGCCCTGATGTATTCAATAAGCTAACGAATGAGTACCATGTAATTTTCTTTTCTTTCTTTCTTTCTTTCTTTCTTTCTTTCTTTCTAGTTTTTTTTTTCTTTTTGGGTCACACCCAGTGATGCACAGGTGTTACCATGCAATTTTCTTAATGTCACCTTCTCCCTCCCATCATTTCTTCTGCTTCGAGTATATTACATGCACCTTAAAAATATCCATGTCTTTTAGTGGAAAAAGACTAGACTAGACTAGAAGTTAATGGATCTGACCTCTGGAGGTCATAGTAACAATTAATTGTTTGGGTCGTTAAAATTCAGTACCACCTTGAGAAGTCACTTAAGTTTTCCTCAGTTGCCTTCTCTATGCCATGAGTGATTAAGTATCAAGTCCTGTGTAGGATTTACAAATCTTTTCTTGCTTAATCTCCAATCCAATGAGGTGGTTATGGTCCTTACCATCATTTTACAGATTAAAAAAAAACAGATGAAGAAAGGTGAAGTGTCTTGGTGAAGTGTCAAAGTCACAAACTAGCAAGTAGCAGAGGTGAAACTCAAACCAACTTTTTGAACTCAAGTCAAATCCTTCCATCTTTTACTATTATTTTCTTGAGCCACCACTGGGCATTAAGAGAAGTTGTGTAAAATAATCAAAAGCATGAGAGAGATTCAGTAACTCATCTAGCAGGGCTGTGGAGACTGCCACCCTATCCCTTTGGGTAGGGATTCTACTACTGAGTTGGCAATTCTGTTCTTATCCTCCACCTTCCGGGGCTGGAACCCTCTCCAGGTGAGGGATCTAAAGGGCCAGCTTCCTGAATGCCACACACTCCTACCTTTTCAGTGCCATTTCTTGAGTTTTCCGGTTTCACCAGGATTGATGGTGGGGCAGACGCAGGCGGTTTGGGAAGGGGCTCACTCTTGATGGGGACTTCTTTGCCTTCCATAATCAAGGAACTGGCCGCTGAGTGGATCCTGGTGTCACCGGCCCTGCTGACACACGTCAGGACCGGTTCCCCGGTGGGAGCAGCCTTGGGTCCCATCTCCACCATCACCGGTGAGGGGGAGGTAGGGGACCCCTGCGGTTGGTAGAACTGGACTTGCTGAGGCCGGACCACCATGGTGGGACTTCGTCGCAGGGAGCCCACCACCAGGGTAGGGATTCCTGACTGCACAGGTCTCTGCAGGGATCCATCTGGAGAGACAGGACAGAAAGTTTAGCAATGGTGGGCTGGAGGCAAGGCCAGCAGCAGGCCCTCCTCACCCCAACAGTGAGGCACTTGCCCCTGGGATGGTGCACATTCACTCCTGTCTTTTCAAGGGGACCATGTTCTTTTCTGAGAGCTGTTGGTAGATGTTCTCTGTCTCGCTGGATGTTTGCAGAGGAGGGCGATGTGGCTGAGGCATTTTGCTTCCCAGTTACTCTCTTCCCCTCAGACAACCTTCAAGATGGAAAGTGAAGTTGAAGGACCTAGATTTTTTTTGTTTTTTGCTTTTTGGGTCACACCCGGCAATGCACAGGGGTTACTCCTTGGCTCATGCACTCAGGAGTTACTCCTGGTGCTGCTTGGGGGACCATATGGGATGCTGGCAATCGAACCCGGGTCAGTTGCGTGCAAGGCAAATGCCCTACCCACTGTGGTATCACCCCAGCCCAAAGCTGACAGACCTGAAGAGCCAGCCTTGAGGTGAGAGTCCGACACAGAGGCAAGGGTACCAACGAGGAAACATGGGACAAGGAGACAGAGGAAGCTGAGGAGCACAGGAGAGAGAGACTTAGGGGGAGGTGAGAGGGAAGGAGCAAGAGAGACCCCTGACCTGCGACTTGGAGACAATTGGAACTGAGCAGCTCATTCTGGCGGGGTGGTGGCCTGATTTTTGTTGGGGTCAGACATGGTGCAGGAGAAGGTAGTATTGTGTGTGTGTGTGTGTGTGTGTGTGTGTGTGTGGCGGAGGGGAGGTGGTGGGGGGCAAAAGGGAGGACAGGAAATGTAGCACTAGAGACAAGAAAAAGTCTTGGGAAAGTCTTTCCAGGGTCAGGGCTGATGGAGCCTTGGAAAGTCCCTGACACAGGCTCAGAGGTCAGACCTGTCCCCCATCATGGCACCCGTCACTGCCTCACTCCTCTCTGGTTAACTGGAGCTACTAACATCACCCATGGGTGCTAGTGTGAGGGCTCCACTGAATGATGTATGCCAAGTGTGAGGGGCATCTAGGGGAATGTCGATCGGCCCGTGATTATTGGCTATCCTCAGTTTGGGGTAAAGGAGAGAAACCTTTAGACATGCAAGGCCCAGGAGGTTTGGTTTGGCTCCTTCCATGAGCTCTTCTTTTATTTTTGTTGCTCCTGTTAATGGAGATGGTCTTCCATCAGGAACCGGAAGACATTCTCCTTTCTCTTAGGAGAGCCCACCCCCGAGGGACACACGCTCTGTTGGAGACTTGGGAATGACAGGAAATCGCTTGCATTTTTTTTTTCTTTTTGGGTCACACCCAGCTATGCTCAGGGGTTACTCCTGGCTCTGCACTCAGGAATTACTCCTGGTGGTGCTTAGGGGATCATATAGGATGCAGGGGTTTGAACTCGGTTTGGCCATGTGCAAGGCCTTACTCACTGTACTATTGCTCTGGCCCTTCCCTTGCATTCTTGAGAATGCAAGGGAAATTCCCCCTAAAAGTGTCTCAGCATTTGGAGAACCACAAATGTGGCCAGGAGCTGGCTCTTCAGGAAAGCACAGGCCTTTGCTTGCACAAGGTCCTGGCTTCTGTCTCCGGCCCTGTAGAAGACAATGCTAAGTAACGTCCAGCCTGGTATTTGCCCTTCATGACTCTACAGACTCATGTGTGAATCTGTCACTTGCGTTCAGTTCCAAGGACCTGCGCTGGGCCCATGTTCAGCATTGTCATTCCTTATGAGGCTTGAGGTGAACGTAAAATGCAGGAGGATCCCGTGGGCCTTCTTAGCTGTTGCAAGGCAGCCAGCCACCATCCACACATTCGACCTTGAGATGCATTTATTTTCCCCGACAGCCCTGGGACCTGCAGAGTCAATTCTTCAGTCCCTGCTCTTTGCTTCTGGGGAGATTGATAGCTTGACCATCTCACCTTGGGAACGGGAGAGAGAAAAATCTGGGACCAGGGAAAATCCAAGTGTCACTAGACAGACACCCCCTAAGGCTCCAGGAAGTGTCTGAGAAATTGGTTTTGCTCGAGCGGGCCCAGTAACGTCTCCATTGGAGACTTTGTTGTTACTGTGTCTGGCATATCGAATACTCTCGGTAGCTTGCCGGGCTCTCCGAGAGGGGCGGAGGAATTGAACTCGGGTTTTAAGGCCTATTTATCTTGTTGGTTCCTCATTTCAATGCTTTCCCAATATATTTAGAGCAAGATAAACAGCAAAGCTCCCAATCAATGAAAATGCTTGCAGAGCTGGAGTAAGAGAATGTGAAAGGAAGAAAGAGGGAGTTCCTGCTAGCAGTGCGTACTTGGAGAGGGGGGAGAATGTGTCGACAGGAGTTCATGTTCAGTTTGGATCAGAGATCTGCTTAGCTGTAGCAGCAATAACAGCAGTAATGGAATAATACCTTACACAAAGTTAATAGTTCTTAAGAGCTTAGGATATTCCAGGCACCGTGGCATAATCTTACGTGGATTGTTTAAGAAACACATGCAGTAACCTTGATGAGATTGGCATTTTGTTTTTGGACTCACTGAGCAGTGCCCAGGGGCTACTCCCAGCTGAGACCTTGGGGGTTGCTTCTGGGGGTAGCTTAGGGGGATTATGTAGTGCCGGGATCAAGATACAACCCAGATCTGCGGCAGGTACTTGGCCCACTGGGCTATCTTCTCTGCTTTTACATTTCATTTTTAGAGGGGGGAGTTGGGGGAGGCACACCTGGTGATGCGCAGAGGTTACTTCTGGCTCAGCACTCAGGAATTACTCCTGGTGGTGCTCAGGAGACCATATGGGATGCAGAAAACCTCAGTCGTCTGCATGCAAGGCAAGTGCCCTACCACTGTACTATCCATTTCTGTTTCACAAATGAGAAAAGAGAAGATGGATGAGATCAGCAATTTGTTGCAGGCTGTCATGGAGGGATTACTTATTTGGTGTGAGGTTAGAGGAGGGAAGAGCTGGAGGGAAGGTAGACAAAGCAACAGGAAGACTAAGGAGGGAGTCACAATCACAATCACAACAATCACAACCATCCTGTTTTTTGTTGATTGCTTCGAGCAGGCCCCAGTAAAGTCTCCTTCGTCCTAGCCCTGAGATTTTTTTTAAAAAAGTGCCATATTCAAGGCTCTTTCAGAGTTAGGTGAATGAGACCCTTCATTGTTACTGGTATTTGGCATATTGGGTACGCCACGGGGAGTTTGCCAGACTCTGCCGTGTGGGCAGGTTACATTCAGTAGCCTGCCAGTTTGTCCAAAGTAGGCATGAGATGATAAGATGTCGCGCGGCTGCAAATGCGGTCACACGCTTCCGGGAGCTGGGTTTTATAGTCTCTGAATCTTGGCCGTTGATGGTATTACACAGCGCCAGGGGGCCAGTTGGTGGGTGTGACCCCCGCCTACTGGAATTTGGAGGATCTGGGTGGAGGGAGATAGTGAACTAAGAGGCAAAAATGGTCAAGCAGGGGATCAGATGCAAAGTGAAAGGGTGGAGCTAAGATGCTTCCTTCACATTTCTTGGAACACTTTTTCTGGTGTAGCTTAAAATTTAGGGGGGTTCGGGCCATATCTTAGAGAGACACAGTGTAGGAGATAGGGCATGGTCCGCTGTGACTATGGTCCTACCTTTTACTTTTGAGTAATAATACTGCGTGAAACATTTTATTAAAAAAAATAGTGAGAGATTCCAGAGCTTGTTTAAACTAGGGGCTATGAAGTAAATCAACTGGCTTTGTTTAGCTCCCTGTCTTCCTCTAGAGAGCTGTACAAATATTAGAATCTTGGTGTTTTGTGAAATAATGGATTTCCAGCACTATTTTTAGAATCCCTGAAAATGAAGTTTCCTTTAGAAGTCCAATGTGTGAGGAGGTAAAAGCAAAGCCGTGAAGATGAAGGATCTCTCACATTGCCATGTGAGCACCGTGGCTGCTATAACGTCAAAATAAAAGCCAGAGCTTGCTCTTCAAGCCATGTTCTCCCTTGCATACACATCTCACTTGCTTGTCTCTCTGTCACTTTGCTTGGTTTCTTTTTTCTCCTCTCAGGCAGCCTGTGTTCTATCTTGAACACATGCTTCCTCTCTCTCTCTCTCTCTTTGGTCACATCCAGCGATGCTCAGGGGTTACTCCTGGCTCTGCACTTAGGAATTACTCCTGGTGGTGCTTAGGGAACCCTATGGGATGCCCCGGATTGAACCCTGGTTGGCCGTATGCAAGGCAAACACCCTACCCACTGTACTATCACTCTGGTCCCCCCTTCTTCCTCTTCTTTCCTTTCTGGCACCCACAACGGTTCTCTAGGATATGGTTTGAGAAGCATTGGCCCAAGTGTTTGGTTGGCTCTGATCAAATCACAGCCACCATCTTCCCTGCTGTGTCCTAATGCCCACACTGGTGTCCAGAACTGCCATCATTCTTCTGGGAATCCAAGGCGCAGGCCAGAAGTGGCTAGCAGAAGAGGCCTGGCTTCATGCAATAGACCACCCAGTATTGGAGAAAGGCAAGGCCCACTTCTGTGATGTCTGTGTTAAATGCTGGTGGAAAGTGCCCTGGACTTTGGGGTACGAGGTGCCCACCTAATCTCTAAGCACACACCGCTCTGTCTCCACTTACTTTTTCTCATGCTGCTCCTGCCTTTCCGGAAAGAGCTCCGACCCAGCGTCCCCGGGCTGCCTGTGCTCCGCACGGGGTTGACGATGGCAGTGGGCACAAAGACAGACTTGAACGGATGGCTCTGGCGAGGGTCCCCTTCGCAGAAGCTGCCTTGGGAAGATACGGACGAGGTGGACAGCGTCCATGTGGCGTAGAGACCAGGGCTCCGGGGGTCTGGAAAACTAGATGTCCTTCTGGTGGGGGGGACATTTTTTTTTCCCAAAGACAAAACACAGAAGGGGAAAAAACACAAGAATCCTGTTTTTAAAAAGGTTCAGTTGTATGACAATGATAGTTGGAAAGGATCACTCTGGACAAGAACTGAGTGCTGAAAGTTAGGGAAAGGGAGATACATGAGAACTTTTCAGTACCTGTAATTTGTGTGTGTGTGTGTGTGTGTGTGTGTGTGTGTGTGTATGTGTTTCTTCCGCACTTAGGAATTACTCCTGGCGGTGCTGGGGGAACCACATGGGATGCTGGGAATTGAACCTGGGTCGGCCATGTGCAAGGCAAACGCCCTACCACTGTGCTATTGCTCCAGCCCTCAACACTTGTATTGCAAATCATAATGCCCGGAAGGAAAGAGAGAGAGAGAGGAAGAGAGAAAGAAGAAAAGTCCTGCCATAGAGAGCGGCTGGGGCAAGGGTAGGAGAAAAGGGAGGTGGCGGGAGGGAAACTGGGGACATTGGTGGTTGGAAATTACACTGGTGAAGGGATGGGTAATGCAACATCCTGTGACTGAAACCCAATAATGAACAACTTTATTACTGGGTATCTCATGGTGATTCAATAAATAAATAAAGAAAGAAAGAAAAGAAAAAAAATGAGAAGGTTCAGATGCATGGTGAAAATAGGGTTAGTCTTTCTTTAATTTTTCTCTGTACAGAATTAGGGATGGAACTCAGGGTTTCACACCTGCCGAGTCACATGGTCACAGGCCTGGCTGCCATTACTGGACTTTCAGTGAACCTGGTGGAAGTACCAGATGTGGGTGAGAATGTTGCGCACCTGAAGTTTCTAGAATGTTACAGTGCAATGTCCTTTCCATAAAATCTTACCTATCAGAGAGAGTCCTAGTTTTTGATTTGTTTTTTGGGCCATACAGGTGGTGCCCAAGGGTCATGCTGTATGGTGCTGGGATTGAACCAGGGCCAGCCGCATGTCAGGCAAGCACCTAACCCCCTGCTGCTCTCCCTTCAGCCCCAGGAGTCTTATCTTTACTTTTAATTTGTTATTTAAAAATAAATTATTTTAGGCCCTGTATTCATGGCAGGGTTGATGCATAAAACATCCCTCTTTCTAAAACCCATCAGCTCCAGCTGTTTCCCACATGTGCCACCGCTCCATCCCTCCTTTCTTTGCCAACCACTTAGGCTGCAGGAATGAGGCCTCCCTTGTCCAATTTGTTTATTATTTTATGAGTGTTTTTAGACCACATTCTGCAGAGCTTAGGGCTTGCTTCTGCCTCTGTGCTCGCAGATGCTTCCTGCTGGGACTTGGGGGACCATAAGGGGTGTCAGGGATCAGATCCAGGGTGACAGTGTGCAAGGCAAGTGCCCTACCCACTGTATTCTCTCTCCGGCCCCCTGTTCACCTTGGGGTTTCTTTTTTTTAAATTATTTTTGGGTCACACCTGACAAAGCACTTGGGTTACTACTGACTCTGCACTCAGGAATTACTCCTGGTGGTGCTCGGGGGATGATATGGGATGCTGGGAATCGAACCTGGGTCGGCTGCGTGCAAGGCAAACCCACTACCCGCTGTGCTATCACTCCAGCCCCACGTTCACCTTGTTAACTGTGGCTATCTGAGTGCAGGGAGCTCTTCAGTGGAGGCCTGGGGGATATAGAAGCTGGAAGGATGCCTCCCCCCTACTCCAGCTCCGGTCACTCTCACCCCTGGCCCTCCGGTCAGAGGATAGGATGTCATTCTCCCTCACTCTGCAGGGACGCTCTTCTGTGTGGCGTAGGTCCTTCCCACTAGTTTCTAAGCTCCTTAAAGGCAGAGTTTTTACATGACTTATTTTAGGTGTTCTGTATTGATTTATTAATAAGATTCACGATTGATTATTATGTATTAATAATGGGGCTGGAGTGATATCACAGCGGTGGGGCGTTTGCCTTCTGTGCAGCCGACCCAATCAACCCAGGTTTGATTCCTCCTTCTCTCTCGGAGAGCCCAGCAAGCTACTGAGAGTATCTCGCCCACACGGCAAATCCTGGCAAGCTACCCGTGATGTATTTTGATATGCCAAACACAGTAACAACAAGTCTCACAATGGAGATGTTACTGGACCCACTTAAGCAAATCGATGAATAATGGGAGGACAGTGACAGTGATATTTAATAGTGGTAGACGGCCTCTGTAATATACGCAGTATCCGTGCAGCCACTTGGACAAACCCATATGGAGTCATGATCCGCAGGGCCCTGGCCAGTGGATGAAATGATCCCCGAGCCTTCATTGCAGCCTTCTCAGAGAGGTAGTACTAATGTCCTCTTACTGAGGACAAAGCTAGACACAAGAAGCTACTGGACCTGAGATTTGAATCCAGCTCCAGGCTGGCCCTCTGCTCCTACTACTGAACTACACTCCCTTTGGCTGATTCAGGCATACATTATGGGTGATTGGAAAAACCTGCATCCTGTTTAAAAGCAATAAGCTCAAGTATCTGGTTGGCCCTGCCTCTTCCATACGACCCCAATTCTTCTGCCTTCCAGCTCTGATTTTTTATTTTGAGTCTTTGGGTCACACCTGGTGGGATTCCTGGCTGGGTGTTTAGGGGCTGAACTGGGGTCTCCCACATGCAAAAACATGTGCTCAGCCCTTTTCACTGTCTTTGCAGGCCATGGTCTCTTTATTTTTTTTTTTTTTGAGGGTGGGGTGGCACTTGGGCCACATCTGGCAGTGCTCTGGAGCTATTCCTGGCTCTGTGCTCAGGAGTGACCCTTGGTCAGGGGACTCCATGGAACTGGGTTGGCCACATGCAAGGCAACTGTTTTACCTACTGTAACTATCGTCTCTCTGCCCAGGACTCTGACTTTTATTTTTTTATTTATTTATTTTTTGCTTCTACTTTCTTTTTTATTGAATCCCCATGAGATACACAGTTACAAAGTTGTTCATGATTGGGTTTCAGTCATAAAATGTTCCATCACACGGGGGCTGGAGCAATAGCACAGCGGGTAGGGCGTTTGCCTTGCACGTAGCCGAACTGGGTTTGATTCCCAGTATCCCATGTGGTTCCCTGAGCACCGTCAGGGGTGATTCCTGAGTGTAGAGCCAGGAGTGGCCCCTGTGCATTGCTGGGTGTGACCCAAAAAGCAAAAAAAAATGTTCCATCACACTTTCCTTCACCAGTGTATGTTTCCCATCACCCCATGTTCCCAGTCCCAGCCTGAAGCTCTGGCAGCATTTTTCTTCTGTCTCTCTGTCTCTGTTTCTCTCTCTCCCTCTCTGTTTCCTTTTGGGCACTGACTTTTTTTTTTTTTTTTGCTTTTTGGGTCACACCCGGCAATGCTCAGGGGTTACTCCTGGCTCTGCACTCAGGAATTACTCCTGGTGGTGCTCGGGGGACCAAATGGGATGCTGGGCATCAAACCCGGGTTGGCCACATGCAAGGCAAATGCGCTACCCACTGTGCTATTGCTCCAGCCCCTGGGCATTGACTTTTAATAACTGCATGTGTGTTTGCTAAACAGCAACTCCTTATCCCTATCTGTGGGCTGTAACTGCTATATTCCACAGGGAACAACACTTGTTTACATGCTTTTCTTGTTGCTTTACCAATCCTGCCTCAACATGGCAGAGAAGTCCATCAATCAATGGTCACTCTGCTCATTAAACAGACTGTGCTACGCTGGACAAGAACTGAGCGTTAAAAGTAGGTAAAGGGATATACATGACAACCTTTCAGTATCTGTATCACAAACCAAAATGCCCAAAAGGGAGGGAGAAGAGTGAGCAAGAGAGAGAGAGAAAGAGAGAGAGAGACAGACAGACAGACAGACAGACAGAGAGACAGAGGAGACAGAGATAGACTGGGGTGGGGAGGTGCCTGCCACAGAGGCAGGCTAGGGGTGAGAGGGAACCTGGTGCTGAGAAATGTGCACTGGTGAAGGGATGGGTGTTGGAACACTGAAACCTAATCATGAACAGCTTTGGAAGGGTCTGTCTCACAGTGATTCAATAAAAATAAGTTAATTAAATAAAAATAAATAAATACACAGATTGGGTTTATTTCTTGGGAAAAACAACTCAACTGAAGTCCAGTTTAAAGACACCCTCCCTGTCATTTCCTTACTCTCAATACCACCTCTGGGCTTCTCATTTGGCAATTTCTCCTTGATTTCTCCTCGTTCTCCATTTCTCTCCTGCTCTTGGTTAAAAGGCAATGCTATGCAGCTAAGTAACAAGCCAGCCAGGGCCATACACAGCAGGAAAAACGTCATTTAACTCTGTCCCAGAAGCATTTGCTACCCAAGTTGCTAGAAATAGATGCTAACAGCAAGAGGATTCCAGAAGCTACCAAATCCCAAACAGGGGCTCCTCCCCCGTCCACCACCCATACCCCTAACCAAGTCCCTCGGTCTTTGGGCCAGAAGCTCAAAACTTCCCAGCACTTCTTCTAACCTCAAAGCACTGGCCTAACTTACAATCATCGCTGCCACCTGCCTCTGTGGCAATGCTGGGGCCAAGGAAGGGGCATGACTGCCCACATGCGCATGCTCAGTCCAAACTCTGGACACGAGCACTGTGGGATGGAGAGCAAACCCCACTCTGACTTCCACAATTGAGCACGACTTCTGCCCTGCCTTTGCACCGAGGCTTAAACATGTCGGATGCTGCGAAAAGGGCTGAAAACAGGAAAGACAGGTTCCAAAATTGTTCCCAGAGGCCGCCACACAGCAAGGACAGAATACAGCTAATTAGGGCCCAGCCCAAAGTCTTTCCACCCGTCCCTTCTTTGAACAACTGTTTACGGGCCAAGATGTGACATCATTTCTCTGAGCCCAACACCAGGCTCAATTCCAGAAGCTCCTAAATCCCAAGTACATCCCCCCTGCCCCCTCATACCTCCAACCAAGTGCTTTAGTCTTTTGGCCAGAAGCTCAAAACTTCCCAGCACTTACTTCTAAGCTCAAAGCACTGACCTAACACATATTCATTGATTCCCGACACCCGCTGGCAGATG